TGAACAGAGTTCTGTTCTTTAAAGGAGGCCTTCCGTGGTCAAGTTCAAAGGCAGGTGGAACGTTTATTCCACCCAGGGTGACCACTACAGGGCGGAAAATAAAAATCTTACCATTGCTGGAGATTGTAGTCCTGGTGTACCACCCTGATCGTCCTCCCCATGCGGTTTGTACGTTGAGCAGCTTAAGTTTGTCAAACATCTCTTCAGATCCAATCGTGCCCATTTGTTGCTTGTCTGTGGCCAAATTTCTGAGAACTCTGTTTACAGAGGAAACCTGGAGATAAACAGAAAACTGTAAGAGAAATCGTCTAATCGTCACTAATAGGCACCATGATGGTCACTCAGGAGAAAAAAAAGCTTATTATCTAATTCAGAAGATAAAGGTGAAGATTAAAGTTGAAATGCCGAGAATAAAGTCAAAATAGCATTTTAAGACTGAGCTAGGGAGAGCAAACCTTGTGTCTGGTTCCATGTTTAAACTACAAAGCACCAATGCAGAGTCTTCACTCTCACAGCAGTGACATCATAACAGCAAACCTGACACTGCTGGCTGTTGTCAACTCACAACCAAAAACCCAACACCAGACAATATGACCAGACGTGTCATTTACTCAGACGTTTGTTCTGTGGCATCACTTGATCCCAGGAATAAACAGGCTTGTTACAAAGTCAAGATCAAGGACGATGGACGGTGACTTTGCATTTAGTTTAAAAATAGTTCCTTACAAAGACGATCACTGTATTCATTGCAGACCAACACAATGCGACTGAGTGGAGTTCTACACCACGCTTCATTCTTAGTTTCTAAAAGGTCACGTCGCTGCAGGACAGGACAGGTGTGTTAAAAAGTGATGGCTGCCTAAAGCAAGAGCAAGAGTATGACTCACTTTTTTCTGCTGCTTTAGTTTTTGAAGTCAAACCTCATTAACACCAAAAGATTCCTATTTGTAAGTAGTGGTGTCTGATATTGATACTGGTACCAGCAGTTTTACAAGTACTCATACTCGTTCAAATACTTGAAATTGATACTTTTTTCTTTTTAAGAGTTGATGTACACATATTAAATGTAACTTCCATTAGACTCCAGTGTGATGATTTATGCCTTCATGTGCAGAAGATGACGTCATGTCACGTTCAGCTCACTGTTTGCAGGCGTAGCATGAATGCTACATGTTAGCATGTCGAGTGCAGACTGTATTTTTGGAACAGGATCAACGTGCTTTATATAAAACTAGTTAAAGTACTGATCCAGTAACTTTAGTATCACTACTGTCCGACACTATTACTATCATGTTTCTGTGGGATACTCAGTCATCCAGAATATGAAAAACTGAAAGAAAAAAGACAAAGCAACCAAACGTCTGTTCTGTAGCTGAAGACGTGGAAACAGAAGTACTCGTACTCAGTTTGAGGAAAACCTGGTACAGCAAAAATGCCAGGGTTAATTTAACACCCACAGTGTTAATTTCAACACCAACAAAGTGTCTATATGTGTCCACACTCGCTGGTGTTAAAATAACTTTTGTGAACGTGCTAAATTTTAACACCAAACAGTGTTAAGTATTTAACAATTCTTGGTGTCACATTAACATAAAAATAGTGTTAGTGTGAAAATATAGTGTTAAAATATGTGTTTATTTTAACACTATAAATACTGTGTGTTTATGGGTAGTTGAGTGTGTTGTATGTATGCTATTGGAGCCCTGTCAAAGAAAAAATTCTGTCACCATCTGGGACAGACAAAGTTATTCTATTCTATTCTATTCTATTCTATTCTATTCTATTCTATTCTATTCTATTCAAAAGTAACACCAGCTAGTGTTAAATATTCAACAATATTGGGTGTCACATTAACATTTCAACAGTCTTAAAATAAAGTGTAAGGAAATCGTGGTGTTAGAAAGGTTAACAGACACCACAGGGTGTCAATACACCATCAAACTGAGTGTAAAATTAACACTCAGAGTTAATATCAAACTCTTTGTAGTGATGCTCTGTACTAAGTAGAAAAGTATAATGGAGTCACTCTTCACACACCAGGAAGTACCTCTCACTCATGGTGTCAATTTTTGGCCAATAACACAAACTTAAAGTTGAACAACTTGATCAAACTGAACAAGAAAACTAACCAGAACAACTAATTTTTACTCTCATGAACTTCTTTAATGGTCATAAACAAAAACATCATTTCTGCAAGATTTCTCAGCAAGGAATGCTGGGTAAATACTGGTCTGTCTGACATGAGGTGGAAGAGGGCGGAGCTTTTCAAAATTCTTCTTTCAACACTGCATGGGGTTAAATAACTACGGAGCCCATGAGGGGACACGGGGGTTTTTTTCATTTGCGTTCCCACGCAATACTTTTGAGTTACCTCGCAATACCTTTGCATTCCCTCACAATGCTTTTGTGTAACCTCACAATATTGTTTTGTGTTCCCACGCAAAAGTTTGATTTGTATATGAACTGAATTAAATCAGATATTGGGTTACCAAAACAGGATGTGTCGCCACAAGTTCGAGAAATTGACATTGATGTCGCGTGGCTGCACCGTGTTAAAATATCGGCATATGACATACTTCCATGTGTGGTTGTGTGATATGTTCATTCTGAAGCTGAATTAAAGCAGTAGACTAACTCGCTAATGGTGAACATGTGAGTTTGATAATAAACCAGCAGGCATAACAGTTTAACGACTTTTGCGAGGGAACGCAATACTTTTGCGTGGGAACGCAAAAAGAAAAAAAATCCCCCATGTCCGGGCTCAGTAAATAACAACACTTTTAAGTGTTATATAAAACTTAACAGTGGGTGGAGCTTATTTAACACTGTCCGGTGTTGATTCAACACTGAGGAAATCAACACTGTGAATTAACACCAACATGGGTGTCAGTTTCCTCAGAAAGTGTTAAAATACACATTAGGGGGTGTTGAATCAACACCCAAAAGTTTATCACTGAAATTTTAACACTCCTGTTTTTGCTGTGTTTGAAAGCCCGGGATTAAAACGTGTATCTCCCTTTAATTTTTTTTCTCCAAAACTCACAAAGTTTTTATCCTGAAAAATAAAAAGTGTTTGTAGTTTGTCATCAACATCTGCACATTTCAATTCCACAACGGTTGGTAACTTGGATGAGCTATGCTTGCTTGTATTTGAAACCACACTGTAAATGTAATATAATTAATGATCAGTTTGAAAACACAGTTTGAGGTTTTTGCATTGATTCTGTTTTAGTTTACCTAAATTATTACCAGAGGTCTAAAATACTTGGGAAAAATAAAACTAAGTAAAAATATCTTAACAGAAAATGACTTTGGTAAAAGTAAATTAAACTGCTGAGAAAAGTACTTCACTCATAAAACTGTTCACAAAAATCAGGACAATAAAAGTAAAATTGAAAACAACTTTTTACACAATGAGTTCAGACATATTTAATTTTGTTATGATTAACTAGGTGTTAAATTTGAAAGTAAAGAAGCAAAAGTATTTTCAGGTTTTACAAAACAAAAGTAAAGGTAACAATTTAAAAATTTACTTTGTAAAATTACAAATCCTCAAATAAATTATTTAAGTACTATAATTAAATAAATGTATTTAATTACTATACACCTCTTATTATTATCAAGCATTCAGGCATGGATTGATCAACTTCTAGCCACACAAGTCTGTAGATGACAGCTAGTTTATCACATTACAAAATAAATTTACAATTTCCACTTTGAATTTACCAGACTAACAGAGGATTTGAGGGGACAATTTTTTCTCCAGTATGGAGGGCAGACAAAATATATTTGAGAATCACTGATATAAAATCACCATTGACACAAGACAGAAAGCTGTGGAAGGTCTTTGTGCCAATATTGGGTTTGTTTTTCCAATTTTAAACTCCTGATATATTTTGAAGACCTAGTTCATGATTTATTCTTTCAACATTTTAACATTTCACTAAATGTATTGACCTCTTCTTAAAACATTTAAACTATTAAAGTTTAATCTTAAAACTATAAGAAAAAAGTCCTCTTTAATTGTTCATAGTTTCTGTATTTTTTCACAGACATAATTAAACACTCACACTGGGTATGTTGTCGTTCGTGCAGACTCCCTCAGCCAGGAGTCGGTCTCTAATCTCCCAGGCGAAGATGGACGGACACTCTCTCTTGTACAGAGCGATCTTCCCCACCACCTCTGGAGTTGCCACTCTGGGTTTGCTCCCTCCTATGGCTCGGGGTCGGATCGAGCCCGTCTCATAATATCGACCCAGGATCTTACTGACGCAGCCGTTTGACACCTGGACAGAAAAACAAAAAGACACAGCATGCCTTTAACTTAGTGACTCATCAGAGTCATGGTTTGAAGAAAAAGATGTGCCCTGATCTTAGCATTCTGAGCTTTTAAGAGGTGTTTTAACTTTGTAAAGTGTTTATAGTAGGTTTTCTTCACTACTCTTTTTTTTATTCAGAGAGATGGAGTCAAAGTTTTAGATTTAGATGAACAGATGATGAGAAATGAGGGCGTTGTAGCAAACTTTTGTCAAACCTTGAACCATAACATGTAATTATGTATTGATTTAACCTGGTGAATCACACTCAGATCACAAATCTCTTTCTCTGTATTCGTCTCATTTATACAGTAGATGTACATCCAAGGATTTGTTTTCATTAAGTTTTGATAAAATTTGATTAGTAATTGACAAGAGTTCTTTGGTAATATAAAAACAAACAAACACAGGCAGAAACATTTTTGCCCACCTTTGCCTTTCAATAATTCAAACCAGAGTGTGGAGAAAAATAATAATACCTAAACTTTGAAGCGAGAATAAACAGCATGAGAAGGCTTAAAAACAACCAAATGTTCTACATTTTCTTAGTTTATTAATTCATTTGTTTGTTTTCTTTTATTTTCTTCAGAAGCTGATTGGCTGGAATCTCTTTAAATATTCAGGAAAGTCTGGTTCTGCTTTGAACTGAAAGTTCAAGTTTATTTATAAAACGCCAAGTCACAACATACGTTGTCTCAGGGCACTGTACATAAAAAAAGAATAATCTAAAGAAGAAACCAGCAGCAGTTAAAGCTCTATCACGCAAAGAATAAGCCAAATATGGACTGAGGCAAAGAGGAAGACAGCTCTGTGGATAAAAAATTTAAATTATCTTCAAAAACTAAACACCACATCCTCAGTAAAGAGAAATTAATCTGTTGACTTGTGTCAACACAGTTCAAATACCTGCGTCTCTGATGGTATGGGGGTGCATTAGTGTTTACTTTCCAATCATCCTTTGGTAGTTGCAAAAATAATGGCTTCATATATCTCACATGACAAACAAAGAATGACGACCCTTTGGTGGCCCAGATGTGATTTGCCAGAGGTGGTCCGTGCCCAGGAAAGCACCATATTAAACAAAACACAACCGGACCAGTTGTGGCTTTCGTCTTGAAAAACAGTGCCATTGTTGCCAGGCCTGGCCCACATTTGATTGACAAACCACATGCCATGCCAACTTGTCACCAGATGTGGCCCAAACCTGTCTGCCATGTGGGCCCTTTCCCTCATCTTTAGCTCAACTCAGCTACAGTGGCTAATAGCTTCTTAAAGCTAGCATTCAGCTGTGTTCTTGTTTGTTTTGATGTGTCTTGTAAGCCTGTGTGGACTGGGCACTACGGTGCATGAACATGATAATAAAAGTACTTGATTTCTGTGGGTAAAAATGAAAGCCAAGGGTTTGTTTTTTTTAATTCTCTAACTCCAATATTTCTTTTCATAAATGATCTTATTATAAAACTCTGGTAGGAAATAGTGTGGGTGATGTGCATTCTTGCAGAGATTTATACCTTTAATTTAAAAAGACACAATGTTGGAGACTCAATGGGCCTCATGCAAGAACCGTTCGTACGCACAGATTTGTTCTTAAGTTGTGCGTACGAATGATTTAGGAGAATTTGTGGCATTCACCAATGTTTTCGTATTCTAAGA